AAAAAAAAAAAAGTTTTGTGATTTTATTTTTCTCAATGTGGCCATTTTTAATTGAAGCAGCCTAATAGGTATGATGATTTATCACTAAACTTAAGTGTCTGGCTTCAAATGATTAAGAATTTTACTCTCACTATTTACCTAAAAATTTTTCCATCCTTAATTACTCCATGTTAAAAAATAGAAAATGTGGCCATTTCTAATTCTTTTTACAAAAAGTCGAGCAACAAAATTGCCCATTAATAGTGAAAACATTTTTGTGATTTAATAGTTATCTTGTTCTTATAAAAGATTTTTTATGTTAAAATCAAAGATATAAAATTCGAATTCAATCATAACATTCGAAAAAAATAAAAAAGAAAGGCCCATTAAGGTTACAACGGTTATTTAAGCAAATATATTATTTATTATTTTTAATATATTAAATAATAAATTACATGATAAAGATAATTCCCTCTTTTATAAATTTTTACAAGATCATCTCTCAATTTTAATTTTGTATTTATATTCATGGTTAATTTAAAAAAAAAGAAAGAAATTTTTTTAATTAAATAAAACTATAATACTTTAATTTTTAATTCTTAAATATTAAATATTTATAAATATTATATTTTAATTAATAAGAAAATTATCTGTCATATTTACCTCCAATAAAACATATTATCTATCAAGTACGGCTTAAAACAGCCTTACATCTCGTTTGTTTGGGGGCAATAACCACGACTGTAACGCCCCCAGTGGTGAGAGAAAGGAAATAAAACAAAACTTTTTAGTGTGACGAGGACGTTAGATTCAGAAGGGCGTCCAAGTTCTCTTCACGTAAGTATGTGGGACCACCGTCGGCCCCACACTCTCCTCTTATATTTTCCGCTCGGACTGCAACAATACAACGGCGCTAACTTACAGACATAATTTTTTCCCCTCCAAAACCATCCTCCCTCTCTCCTGTAGCCTTTTTTTTTTCTTTTTTTCTTTTTTTCTTTTGCTTGAAAAAGAAACCACCAGGCAACATCCAAACGGCAATGAAACGAAAGCGTCGACGGTGATTTGTTTGCTATATAAAAGAAGGAAACTTCCTCATAGGAGTTGCTTCTCCTCCCTCATCTTCTTCTTGGAAGCTTCCGCCAGCTTTGTTCTTGAGGTTTTTTTTTGTCCGTTTCAGTTGTTCACGGCGGCTAGAGGTGGACGGTTGCCGGTTTTTCCAATTTTCCATCTGGAGTTCTGGTTTGCTAGGTTTCTTTGTCCGGGTTTTGGGTGTCGTGTTGATTGGATTATAATGGGAGGTACCAGAGATTTTGTGGTGGGTTTGCATGCGAAAGGAAAGATGGGATCTGACGGTGGTTTTTGATGGGAATTCTGGTTTTGACAGGTGCGTTTTATTTGCTTTTTAAGGCTGCATTTCTGGGATTTTGTTGAGGGAAAAGGAAAGGTGTTTCTATTTGTTAATGATTTTCTTGATTCCGGGTTAAATTCTTTATTCTATTCATGTGGTGGGTCTATGGAGCCTTAAGGCTAGCTTCGTCCTTTTAATTTTTTCTTCTTTTTTGATGTCTTGTATTGAAGATGCAACTCTCTTCACCAGTCAGGCATGTGGCCTGATGGTCACGTTCCTTTCTGAGAGTACACGACAGCATTAAGTCCAGGGTTCAAACCCAGACAATTCCAATTCGTCCGTCTTCTAATCGCCTAGTTCAAAAAATAAAAATTGCAGTTCTTTTCTGATTGGTGTTCTAAATAATTTAAGGCAAGTTCATCAAATAAATAAATGAATAAAAGCAAATACATTTTGAAACTAAGTTTTTTTTTTTTTATTTATCAAGTGGGAATTTTGGAGGAGGGGGGATATTGCAACTGTCTCATGGATACTTGAACTTTGACATGAAGTAAGTTAGGTATTTGATACACATTTTCAGAGTTGCTAGTGCCATTTTGAAACTAAATTAGAATCCAGCTTGACTGAGAAATGCAATATTTCTTATTTTGGGTGTAGGTTTGTTGGGTCTATATAGTCCATGTAAATTTGTAATCCATGTCCGATTGACTTATACAATTTTGGGACGTTTTTCTTTCTCTTTGATTTTACAGGAAATGGGTTTTGAAGAATGGCATTTTGAGATTTTAGCTCAGGAGAGCTTTGCTTTGATTGTAGATGTGTTTGAAAAATCTCAACAACTCTAGTCTCTAGGAATACATGGATTGTAAAAAGTGGTAGCAGTGGCACTCCATTTGGATGCAATGGTAAGAATATTAGCACCGGGGCTGTTAATTTGTTCGCTCTTGATATCGGTATCCACAGCGTATACTAATTGTGATGATGATGGAAGTTTGTGGAGCACTGAGAGCATTCTGGAGACACAAAGAGTGAGTGATTTCTTGATTGCGGTTGCGTATTTCTCAATCCCAATTGAGCTCCTTTACTTTGTTAGCTGCTCCAACCTGCCATTCAAATGGGTCCTTTTTCAGTTCATGTCCTTCATTGTGTTATGTGGCTTGACCCACTTGCTAAACGGCTGGACCTATCGCCCTCACACATTTCAACTCATGATGTCCCTTACCGTCTTCAAGATTCTTACTGCTTTGGTCTCATGTGCCACAGCCATTACTCTTTTCACCATGATTCCCTTGCTTCTCAAAGTGAAGGTGAGAGAATTCATGTTGAAGAAGAAGGCAACAGAGCTGGGGCGAGAGGTTGGGCTTATAATGAAACAGAGGGAAACTGGGTTGCATGTTCGCATGCTTACTCAAGAGATTCGTAAATCATTGGATAGGCATACCATTCTGGATACAACCTTGGTCGAGCTATCCAAGACGTTGGATTTACAGAACTGTGCAGTTTGGATGCCAAATGAGACTAAGACGGAGATGCATCTAACTCATGAGCTCAATGGGGAGAATTATACGTTTAATTATACTATACCAATGACTGATCCGGATGTTGTAAGAATTGAAAGGAGTGATAGCGTGAATTTTCTCAGTCCAGATTCGGTGCTGGCTACTGCAAGCAGCAGAGAGTGTGGTGAATCAGGACCCGTGGCTGCTATCCGGATGCCAATGCTTCCGGTTTCTAATTTTAAAGGGGGAACTCCAGAAGAAATACAGGCTTGTTATGCTATATTGGTTTGCATTCTTCCAGGCGGAGAACCTAGAGAATGGAGTAACCAGGCACTAGAGATAGTTAAGGTTGTTGCTGATCAGGTGGCTGTGGCAATCTCTCATGCTGCAGTGCTTGAAGAGTCCCAACTCATGAGGGAGAAATTGGAGGAACAAAATCGAGCACTGCAACTGGCAAGACAAGATGCTATGAGGGCAAGCCAGGCAAGAAATGCAGTTTTGAAGGTAATGAGTGATGGGATGAGGAAGCCAATGCACTCAATTTTGGGCTTGCTTTCGGTGTTGCAGTCTGGAAATTTGAACGTTGATCAACAAATTATTGTTGATGCAATGATGAAAAGCAGCAACGTCCTATCGAACTTGATAAATGATGTTATGGACATTCCAGTTAAGGATAGTGGAAGGTTCCATTTAGAAATGAAGTCTTTCCGGTTGCATTCCTTGATTAAAGAAGTAGCTTCCCTTGCAAAGTGCTTGTGTATTTATAGGGGCTTCGGATTTGCAATTGAGGTTGAGAAGACGTTGCCTGATCACGTTATAGGTGATGAACGAAGAGTTTTTCAGGTCATACTGCATATGTTTGGGAGCCTCTTGGATGGCAATAGTGGACAAGGAACTGTAATAATTCGGGTTTTTGAGAAGGGTAGTCTGGGAAGGAATGATCAGAGATGGACTGCCTGGAGGAGTAGCAACTCCAATGGGGATGTATATATCAAATTTGAAATTAGGATTGATAATAATAATTCACAATCAGAGGGCTCAACATTGGAACTGCAGCTTGAAGGTAGGAAACACACCAGTGGAGCTGAGGAGAGCTTGAGTTTCAGCATGTGCCAAAAACTAGTGCAGGTAAGATCAGTATTTCTTTATGTGAGTGAAGGTACAAATAAATTGTTGATATTTGTTTTGAGTAATGGTGGCCTATTCTGTTAGGGTATAATTCAACTAAGTAGAAATTATTAGATCAGAATCAGTAAATTGTCAAATGTTAATCTCCCCTTCCTGCAGATATTTTTAGCTTTAAGACCCCTCAGACATGATTGGAAAGGAATAGGATAAAGGTGCTTATTATCCCAACAAAAAGTTCTGCATCTCGGTTTTAATAGGAACTATTTTTGTCTTACCTAGAGCTTAATAGTGATGGCTAGTGGAAATTTTTACTTAGGTTCTCATAGTTGAAACTGTATATATGCCTATTCTATCAAAGAATTCTTCTCATGTTTAGGACATTTCTGATTAGTTTAATCCTGATGATATCCATGAAATTGGTAGATGATGCATGGGAACATATGGGTGATCCAAAATCCTCATGGTCCTGCCCAATCCATGGCACTTGTCCTTAGGTTTCAAGTCCGATCATCCATAGCAATAACCATCAGTGAGGCTGGAGAGTCTTCAGAGCAGCCGAGCTCAAACTCTCTTCTCAGGGGCTTGCAAGTTCTACTAGTTGATAATGATGATATGAATAGGGCAGTGACTCGTAAGCTGCTTGAGAAGTTGGGGTGCATTGTTTCTGCAGTATCATCCGGGCTTGAATGCCTCAATGCTATTGCCTCAGCTGCATCTCCTTTCCAGATCATTATGTTGGATCTTCATATGCCCGAGTTGGATGGTTATGAAGTTGCAATGAGGATCCGGAAGTTCCGAAGTCGTAGTTGGCCCTTGATAATTGCCACCACGGCTAGTGCTGATGAAGATGTGTGGGCAAAGTGTACGGATATAGGAATCAATGGAGTCATTAAAAAACCGATTCTTCTGCAGGGGCTTGGCATGGAACTCCGAAGAGTGTTGATCCAGGCAAACAAATTTATGCGATGACACTGGCACTCCTAAGTTTTACAGAACTGCAGCTGCGCCTTGAACCTTTTAAGTTAGTTTTGGGTCTTCATAGGCTGTAAGTACGTACCTCTCTGAGCTTTCAGCACGGAGATGTTACATATACACAACTCTCGTATATATTCAAAATGGTACACGAAGTTAGTTCCTCTTTCCTCTTTTCACAGTTTAATATGCTTGAATTTCTCTGTTATTGCATTAGACATATATATAGTTTGAAATTTCACCAGAAAAACTGGAATCGTTTTTAAAGGTATATATCTTTCTCATAAAATATATTACTTGTATAACAAATCAATTATAAGTTCATTGTCTTAGACACAACTTATAGATTATATAAATCTTCTATCAAATCAAAAACTATCTCAGCTAGTATTAATTGGTTTCAAATTAAATGTAAGTTTTGTGTTAAAACCTAGATGCTCAATTTTCTCTATTTAATATGCATAAACTAAGCACAAGTGTATGCTGCATCTTACACCAATATGTATCAAAGTTAAAAATTCACTGTAAACGAAATAAATTGGCATGAAATCAGAGGGATTGTTGAGGGGTTTGGTTCCTTAGGCTTCAAATTCATGCATGGACCTTTCCAGGTACGTAGGACTTTCTTTATTAACTTTTTGTTTCGAATTAAATCATTCCACATGGACCCTTGTCTTATCCCACAAAAATCCAAAATCAGTAGTAATAAATATGAAAAATACCCTCTTATCATTTCATGCTTTATTTGGTGAATGGACCTTGCTTTTTCTTATGTTTTTGAATTTGGAATAAATTAGTTTTCCTTTGATTTGGCAGCCATGCCTTTTGCACCATCAATTTTGCTTCTCCTCACTTATTTCTTCTAAGTGCGGATTCGGTGGTGGATTATTCAGAAATCATGATTAAGAATAATAATAATAATAATCATATTGGTCCTTAACTTTTAAAAGAGAAATGCTGGGGACACTGCACTTCGCACATCATCTGGGTGGTGCGGTTTTTTATTTTATTTTATTTTATTTTATAAAAAAATTAAAAATAAAAAAATTTACTCTGCAGCTAGTGGACACTCTGCCCTTAATATTTGCTCTTTCAAAAATACTTTATCAAAATTAGGTGTATTACTTCTAAAAAAAAGTCAAACATATTTATCTAAAAAAAATGTTATATGGTTCGAATTATATTAAATTGTATAAAATAAATTATTAAATAATAAACAATTTTGCTAACGTTAAGTTTTTTTTTTTTAATTTAATAATTTATATTTTATTATTCCGACATAAAATTACAAAATAGAAAGCTTTCTTCAATCCCAAATTAAAGGCACACCATTCAGTTAATCATTTGGGTAGTTAAATATATTCCAAAATTGATTCATAAGTAGAAATTGCATTTTCACTAATGAGGTGAGGAATGCACTTGTTTTTTCTTAAAAAAAAAAAAAGAAAAAGAAAAAGAAAAAAGGACGAAAAAAAAGAGAGGAAAAAGCAAATGATTTAGAGCATGACAGCAACTCCACCCGTAATATTGTCCCGTTTGGAAGAAGATATTTAGACTTCACCTGCAAGCATATTCTACTGTGGAACAGAGGATTGGGGGGTTAGAAATCTTGTCTCTTACAAGGTGGCATCGCATAATGAATCAAAGTCTCTCCACCTTGGTATCATCGAGCACAAGAGCATGATTTCAACAAAACCCAACTTTCTCAAAAGATAAGGAATAATCACAATTAAATGAATCTCCCCATCACTGTCGCTCAACTAGCCCCCCAAAAAAGAATCAAAATTGGGACACTGTCAGTCATTAAAGTTCTTGTGCCAGGTCCTTTGCACCCACAATAAAATAAAAGAAAAAACTTGAGTGGCTTTGTCCGCGGTTAACCAAAGTTCAAGTAGTGGGGTCAATGATACTGTGTGATTCTTGACTTTGGGGGCAACGAGTTTGTTGAATAAGGGCGTAAATTAGCCAAGTCAAAGGCCCTTTTCAAGTTTTATGTTTGACTTGATTAACTTTTTCTTGGTTCAAATTCAAGGTTTTAAACCTAAACAAATTTTAAATGTCGAAACTCTTGAGCTAAATTAAATTTAAAGTTAATTTAATAAATATTTTTTTAATTTTATTTTAATTAGACTTAAATTGAACCTTAACTTGAGTAGTTAGATAACTCTATTTACATTTTTAGTGTAGAAGAAGAAAATCTAAAAGGATTGGATTTCAATCATTCATATCTACTTGCTTTTTTCTTACTATACTTTTTTCCTTTCGAATATGTGATGATGAATATGCCAAAGGGCTCTGTATACAAGGAAAAGGTACAATTAAAATAAACCTAGGAATTCATTGGATTGGATATGAAGATTGGAAGCAAAAACCAACGTTTAGTCTCTCATTTTACAAAATTGGTAGGTTTTAACCCTTTACTTTATAACATGACAATTTTAGTTTTTTATCTTATAAAGTTAATAAATTTTAACTCCTCACTTTACAAAGTTGGTAGATTTTAACTATTTATTTTATATTATAATATTTTTAACCAATCACCGATACAAATTAAAGAAAATAACTCTCACCTAATATCAGGTTATAATATTCGGTTAGTTCTATTTGTTAATTGTTAATATCTGTTAGCATTCTGTTATAAAAAATATAAAATTTAAATTTAATTTTATTTGTTAGTTTCATTAATAAAATGTTAATGGATGTTAACAGTCAACTAACAGAACTAACAGTCAGTTAATAAAACTAATAGTCAGCTAACAGAATTGACAGTCAGCTAACAAAACTAATAGAATATTAAAACTTGATATTAAATAAGGGCTATTTTTTTTTTATTTGTACAGATAAGGGGTTAAAAGTATCATAATATAAGATAAAAGGTTAAAACCTATCAACTTTATAAGGTAAAGGGTTAAAAGTGTCATATTATAAAGTTGGGGGCTAAAACTTATCAATTTTATAAGATGAAGGGTTAAATGTTGGTTTTAGCCAAAAACTGGGGGGGTGAGGTGGGGTGGGTGGAGGGGGGAGGAAGGGAGGTTTCAAGACTTCCTAGATTTATATTGAATAGTTCTTGGTTCATGCATCCTTCTAGTTCCATGGAAAGGAACAAAACCCACATCACATCATTGATAATCTCTTCCAATTTAGTATTCTAAGAAGAGGGAAGGGCAATTCTTGTCCAATAGGATTGGAATTTTAAAAATCCAATAAGACATAAGGACTAGTAGAAGGTAGGGTTGCTTAATTGCGTAAATGTTTGGACTTTGTTGTCTAGATGTTGGCCCAATAATAAATTATTGTTGCCCACTTAGCTATAATCTAGTATCACGTTTACAACAAAAAGGCGGCTACGAAAGATTATTAGCTTAATTAATTAATTAATTAAAGGTTTCTTGTAGTGGTAAGTTCTTTTTTTTTTTTTTTTTTGGAATGTACATTTGCATATGGTGCCCATTCCTCCCAAATGCATTGTTATTAGACATTTGGTTAATGAAAGGGTTGGCACTCAATTTGAACTCTCTTAAAAATAATAATAATCTCAACTCTTAGAAATAAAGACAAATTTTCCAATAGTTTGTATTTTTTCAATAAGGGCAAAAAAAGAAATTCAAAAATAACTAGGCGAAGGGAACAATTCATAAACCCTTTTAAAGTCGTTATGTTAGCATGAGGGTCCATCAAAATTAACTGGTCTATTGAGTCTTACTATCACATGATAGTGATTGATGAACCTTGCATCAAATATAGGCAATTTGGATGGGATTCAAACATGAGTGCATGATTATGAGGTTTCAAAGGAAGATAAATTATTGCTGGGCTACTATAATATTAAGACTATAATAAAACTTTTGTAGTACGTTTGATTCGAGTAAAATTCTATCTTATCAGAAAAGTGCCTTTAATAAAATGTTTACCTAAAAGGTTACATAAATTTTTTTGTTTGTTTTTATGAAAAAAAGTGTTATACAATTCAAACTATATTGGAATGTATAACACTAACCAATAATTGGGAGGTGAGTCCTTTGCTATTAAGGCTTTCTCTTATTTATTATCTGTATTTTATAATCTGATATAATTTATATTGTAAAACATGAGACTCTTATTTTATACTTTGGAAAAGTAAGAAAAAGGTAGGCTATTTAATTTAGCTTAAATTTATTTAGAAAAGTGCTTATCGTGGGAAATTAATCTTTTGTATTTAACCTCAACCAAACACCCCTTAAATTATTGAATTTTTGTGTACCAAAAAATTAGGGAATTTTTAGATGTAAAGTAAGGCTGGTTGGGTCCAAGTTGTTCTGGAGCTGGATAACCGAATCATGGGCCTATGTCACATAAGAGAATTAGTTATTGCACGGACAGATGGGCATTTTTTTTTATTTGCGGTGGGAAATTTCTTGTTCTATTGATTGGGGGTTTACAGGCCCTTTTTTTTTTTTTTTTTGGATATTGGAAGAAATGAAGTTTAAAAACTTAATAAAATGTAAAGTCACAAAGCCCAGTCTTTAGAACAGTTAAGCCCAGACTTGAAAGGGGATTGGGTCATATCATACAACCCCAACACCAATTTATGAACACAAAAGATTTGGAGGTGTTTGTTTCGATTTTTTAGAGATAGTCATCAATTGTTAATTTTAATCAAATAATTATGTATTTTAAATTATAAATAACAATAATTATTAGTCATTAGATATCTACTATCAACTGTATTGAAAAATTTAATCCAAACAGCTTCTTGAATTTTCGTTTTGTGGGACCTCAAAGCTCTTTAGTAATGCTAGATTAAGAAATTGAATATCAATTATTTGACCAAATGTGATGTCTGGCTAAACTAAAAATAAAATGAAATTAAGAGTTCAATTTGTTTTAACTTTTGTAGAATCGTTGTTTGAAAAATTAGACTGAACATGTACTTAGAAATGCTTGAATTTTCTTCCCTACTCAAAAGAATAATTCATAGTCAGTATGATAATTATAAACAGATAAATCACCCAAAACTACATACTCTCAAATGTTATATAGATATGAGAAAACCTGATATTAGACAAACTACTATTAGCAATTACGACACTACCCATGATTTACCTAGGAAATTAATTAATATAATATGTACAAGTCACATGCCTATTACAAGGTCTAGGGGTTCGATTAAGTAATCAATGCCGGCTTGTCTACAATGCATGTCTCACTCCATTTTCCGTATCTCCTTTGCTGACAACTTCAAACGTGCAGCTGTCTTCGATTAATTGAATCAATCGTCATCTTCCCAACATTATAATATTAGCGAAAATGTTTAATGTCTTAATCAAAAAAATTAGATAAGTTATGAGGCTTAATCATGTGATAATGATCCTAGGGGTTAATCAATCTATAAGATAGTAAGAGTTGTGTGTTTTTTTTCAATCGGAAAGGAAATATATTATTATTTAGAGTATAAAACGTATTTCTACCTGTTGTAAAATGAACAAAATTAAATTGGTTCATATATCATTAGACAAAGAGCATGCTAGCCAAACAAAAAGTCTTGTTAGTTGCTAAAACAAAAAGCCTAATTACTAAATTTTTTTTAGATGAATCAAAAGTTTCATTAAACAAAAGTACAAGAGGTACTCCACTCATGATCTCAAAATTATATTACATGATAGCAGCAATTAATGCGTTCAAAACCAAATCAAAACAGGAAAAATTGACAATATAAACAACAAAACTAGCTCATAGTAACTTTTTGAATACATAAACTAGGAAAATTACACTGGTAGGAGAAGGGAAACAAAGTGTTAGCCTAATTACTACATGAATCATCCAAAGTCTTAGTTGAGCATTTTAAAGGCATCCCTAGATGTTTTGTACCATAGTTTCTGTGATAAGCCATTTCATACCTTAGCCTTAATCCAAGAAAAGGTTCTGCGTCATAGAAAGAATTGTGTTGGTGAGGAAAATTTTGGGTTGTTAAGGATTCGCCATAACTAAGTCTGGGTTGTTAAGTTTGAACTTTGGCCAAGAAAATCAACATATTTTGAGTTCCTAAAGGATCTAAATTGTCCAATTCATTGTCAAAAACAAAGAGAATATAATATTGACAAATGGTTTTTTTTTGCTTTGACCACCCTCTTTGTCTTGTCTATAGCTCAAATATATCCTTCATGTTTCACATGGTGAGAGGGAGAATTTGCCAATTCGCTGCGCAATTCACCTTTCATAAAGAATTCAAAATATATTTTTAATTCAATTTAAAATTTTCCAACCAAAAAAAGAATAGTGAAAATGAGTATTAGACTTTTTGTTAGTCCAAGGTTAAACTGAAATTGAAAAACAATAAGCACCAGTGGTCTAGTGGTAGAATAGTACCCTGCCACGGTACAGACCCGGGTTCGATTCCCGGCTGGTGCAAAGGTTTTCCCTTCTTTTTTTTTTTTTTTTCTAATTCAACATGCCGACAAGACCTTTTGCACACCGCATTTAACGGCAGAGAACGAAAACCCGCGGATTTGCAGGAACTCCAGCGATCAGAGATTCGCCACGTGGGAGCTTGTGTCTTGTTGACTGGTCAACATCTTCCTTCTTACCGTCCAATTTGTGAAGGTAAAGACTCATCGGGCCCACGCATCCCGTGAAACTGGCACGCTTTGTTTACTTTTGTAATTTGCACATCCATTTAGGATGGGTACAGTAAGGTTTAACAAAACTAAATTAGTGATTAATTAAAATTTTATAATTAAAATTTTAGATTTAAAATTTTAGTAATTTTTAATTAAATTGAGAAAAAATAGATTTTATCGATTTCAGTTACATTTTTTAAAGAGTATCTATTTGGATTGGTTTCAATTTTAACCACAAAAAAAGTTATTTTTATGTTATTTTTATATTTTTTTGAATTTTGAATTATTATTTTATTAATTTCAATTATTAAGAAATTAAAAATTACCCAAATATATAAATAATTTGGTGAAAAGTGATTAGAAAATCTTTAGAAAAAAATCTAAAAACTATTAAAAAATTTATATAAAAAGTTTTGAGTCAGATTTTTTCGTAATATTCATTCTAATCATCGGTTTTTCAGTTTTTAGTTTTAGTAATCAAAACTCAAACCATTTAAAATATATTCAGTTTGATTTTTACTTAAACAAACCCAAAACCAAGTCAAATATTACTCATCAATTATGATTTTATCGGTTTTTAATTT